ATGCATCATTTTAAGCTTGTGGAGGGGGTTAGTGTAAATATTTTCATTTTTTGTTAAAAATTTTAAAATTTCATTTTTTTAGGCTAAATTTTCAAATTTTATTTTTCTTTTTGCATTTTATTTTCTTTTTGCATTTGCATATAAAAAAAATTCAAAATTCCAAAAAATATTTTCCTTTTAATTTTTCTGTATTCATAAAAAAACCCAAAAAGATTTTATTTCTAGTTATTTTTATTTTCTGCATTTAAAAAAAATAGACAAAAACTACATGAGATAAGGATATCTTTTTACATTCGATAGCTCTGTAAAGATGAAGTGTGATAGTTACCGAAAACAATAGTCTTATTACAATCAATTTTAAAAATTATTTTTTCAAGTGCTTTAAATGTTTTCAATATGAACCAACATATGAGTCGGATAATTTTTACAATGGAAATGTGGGATGGAAAAATGAATATTGTTTTAGAAATAATTTCCTTAGATGCCTTAAAAAGAACCTAAATTGGATAACCCTTATCATTCCTTGAAGTAATTAACTCTATAGTTTCTGCGCCTTTTGAGGTTGCAAGGGAACTCTTGTTATACCCACAATTTATTATCATTTTGAAGTATTGGAGATAAGGTGGGCCTCAAAATAAAATCCGCGCCCAATCGATATATATGTTAGAAATGGTACATCAAGCAACTTGAAGAAATATGCAATTCAAAGTCAAATCCAAGTCAAGTTCAAGTCGAAATCAAGAACCAAGCAAGTTAAATATGAAGAGTTGATCAAAACAAAGAAGATGTGTGGTATAATGAGATAGATCCCTTGATAGTGGAATCATAGGGGTAAGCTTGGATTTTCTGTCCATGATGGAGCTTACCGCGTTTACTGGACGAGTTCAGAAAAAAGGAGGGGTTAGTCAAGCTAAGTTTTTATAAACAAATTTTCGTGAAATTATTTTTAAAATACACTGTTTTCACAAATTTAATTCGGTGTAAAAATTATTAGCTCAAGCTTGGTTTGACTAATTAAATATGAAATCTGAATCGTTAATATAAAGTATTAAGATTGTTATCTGGGTAGTAATTTCATTGGAGCTTCTTCGTTGTGAAATCTAATCATGTGCAAAAAAACAGAGTGAAGTATTTATTGTCCTTTATTCTAAGTTCTTTTTATGTCATTTACATCTTTCCATTTGTTTTAATGTTTAATCATTTTTCTTACTTGTGGGCAAGTAAGGTTTAAGCTTGGGGAGATTTGTTAGATGCCATTTTATGCATCTTTTAGGGTAGTTTTTATTAGCATTCAGTATCATATTTTGTACATTTTCATGTCATTTGTTTAAATAATGTTCAGCTCATGTATTGAATAATGTTCAGCTCATGTATTGTATTAGAATTCTCGTACTGCTAGCATTTTTTGTGTCAATTTCAGATAGTTCAAGTGGACCGGTACTTTGGGAGCAGCTGGATGCATATTTGGAACCTAAATGAAGTTGGAACTGAAGGAGGATGTTGAGGAATGCTTGGAATACGTTTTGGTTAAGAAACATTCGATCGAATTGATCACACAAAGATAGAATATACAATCTGATGTTAAAGGATGTTGCTGTCAGCTTTGACCCCCTGTTAGTATTTTGACCATATCTCAGGAACCGTAACTCCGATTTATGAGATTCAAAATGTTCTGAAAACTAGGCATAATTTCCAACAACTTTCATGGTTATGAGAAAGGCCACATCTGCGATTAAATAGCCCAACAATTCGATCGCAGGTGTGATCGCATGTTTGTCCTGCGATCGCATGTTTGTCACGAAGCTTTCTAAGGGCAAATAAAGTCGTTTGGAAGTCTTCTGAAGTAAAAATTCCAAACCTACGATCGCATATGCATGTACCTGCGATTGCATGTTGTCTAAAAAAGCCCAGAACAACAACGTACGTCATTAAATCGGCATGATACGCATTTTTAAGAGAACCTGCGATCACATAGGGCTTACCAGCGATCGCATTTTACCAGATTCTTGTTCCGGAAGTTTCCGCCTTGAGTATAATTGCAACCCTCATCATCAAATGCGAAAAAGAGACGATTCCATGCGACGAAAACCACTTATGAAGGCGATTTTTTAATTTTTTTCATCAAGTTTTGGAGATCTGAAGGCTGCGAATTATCTCATACATTTAGTTTAGAAGATTGATCAGTAAATGCTTCTTTTATCTAGTTTGATTTCGTTTTTGGCCATGTATGGCTAAACTTTAGTTTTCAGTTCTGCATAGACTAGTACTTCTCATGTGATTAGTTTTCAGATCTGATTTTTGTTTTGTGTTTATATCTAGATTTTTCAGTTTTGAGCTTAAGGAATGTTTGGTTTTAAATTCTTGTTAGCATGATCACCTAGCTAGGGTTTTATCATTCCAGATAATCAGTTAATAGAATTTGTAATTGTTCTTGTCAATTGGTAAAAGTAACAAGTATCAGATTGGTTCCGTTTTGGGATTTAACTCTGGTATAAACTGTAAAAATCATATCTTTACGCTTCCGAGCTTGTGGGAAGTATTGTGTATTGTTGGGAATTTTACAAAGAACTTAATGCAATTTTTCTGATTTAATTAAGAGCTTGTTTAATTGAACAGTAAAAAGTTAGGGTTAACTGAAGAGCTTGTTTTGGTTAACTAATATAGGTAAAAGAGATTATACTAGAGCTTGTTAGTTTTTCTTAGTACCAGCTTAGATAGAATGCATATCAAATAATCAGATCTGAACTAATTGCATGATTAAGAAAGTCGCAGCAGAACTAAAATCGTTTTTATTATAGATTTTCGTTTAATTTAATATCACTGCAATTTTAGTTTACTTAACCCCCCCCCCCCCTTTTATAATTTCTATCATGACTAGAATGTGCCTGATGCAAAAAGGCATTGACCATTAGGTTGTGTCCCTGAGGATTCGACCTTGCTTCCCTGTGCTTTATTTTTAGTGCAACCAGTAGTGATAAATTTATTTGTTTAAATCGGGTGCGACAATCGGTCTAACAAATTACATATATATATATATATATATATATATATATATATATATATATATATATATATATATATATAATACTTATAATAGCGGTAAGGGACCTTTTTTACTGACTCGTTGTGGGCATTTGAGGATATTTAAATCCTCAAGATTGGCCCTGCCTATGACTACTTGAATTTGATTACACCGACCAATCAAGTGTTTTCTTTCATATCACTGCACTTACTTTGAGTTGCATATATCATTGGAAATGATCCTACCCATTTAACCTTATGAAAAAAAGCCCTTCGTAACTTCTTAACAAGTTGATGATTGTAATTCAACGTGAAACCACACAAACACTTCTTAGTCTCTCTTGACTATGAAGGAAGAGAATCTTTGCCTGGGATCAAATTGCTTTCATATCAAATAAATTTTGATATCACCATATTTCCAAAAAAAATTAATTTTATTATATCTTATTCTTTGGAACACATTTGCACTAGAATCCTCGAGGTTATGAGTAAAACCAACTTATGCCAAGATTCTTCAAAGTCTGGTTAATGATTCTAGTCATTCTTCCCATGATTAGATGAAACTCTTCTTTATCCTTGTTCTATCTAAAGATGTAGTAAAAGTGGTCATAATTCCAATGGATATTATTTCAATTTTCAGAAAATTGAAGGGTAGATTAGTCGTTATGAATTTGTTGCAAACTAAAATGACATGTTTCTTTCATTACGAATGGTTGCGATCGATTGGATAGGATCAGAATAGATAGGAGTGGATAGAAGTAGGTTCTGGTAAATCAAAATTGGTTCAATGAAATAGCTCGTTCGGAGTGATAATTATTTATCTGTTCCAAGACTGATGAGTTGGCATCTTCTTATTGGACCTCAAATACGTGATGATGGTTGTGGAACTCAAGACTGACGTGGAATGAGACGTGTTGGAAGTTCATCTTTCCTACTTTACCGGTCATTTCAAAATTCAAAATCAATGCTTGGATTTCTCTTACTTATAAATACGTCATTCAAACCACAATTAAGCTCTTTACACTTTTAGACGATTCAAGTGCTATAACATAAAGAATTCTCTATTCTTTTCTTAATCAACAATGTGTTTTTCTGAATATCTAATGGAGTAATCTACTAATCATATCTCTTTTATGGATCAATCTACATATTCAACACATTTAGTGGTGAAAGCTAATCAGAATTTGATTATGGATGTTAAAGAATCAAAGTATCTCAGTTCTATTCAACCGATGATCGTGTGGTTGAAGCATTTAATCCTAAGGAAAGCCCTGACATCCTATTCAGAGGTTCCTTTATCTACTCTTATTCTTGCTTACACTTCAGCAAATTACAATGATGTGCTCGATGTTATGAATTTTGAGGTTCAAGGGCACAAAACACAAATCTCTAAATTAGTGTTTTGCAAGTTATTAGGGTTACGTTTTGGTGACGAATATTTGAATCCAAAGTTGGTTAATTTTTTTTCGATTATCAAATATTATCATCAAATGGGATATAAGGATGATTTTATCATGCTCTATAAGTTCAAAAAGTCATTTGTTACCATTGGTATGGAATGCCCTATTTACAATATTGTTTCGTTGTATTTCTAAGAAGATCACTGGTTCAGATAACACGAACAAGTTATTTCATACTTTGCTTTATGCATTGTATTCTGAAGAGAAGATTGACTTAGGTCAAATACTATGGGTTCAATTTACTCAAGGTATTTCTTCTTCAATGAAGAATACTGACATTTCGGGTGCAAGGTTTTGGTTGATTGTGGTAAAGAATGCTCGTGATCACTTCAAATTTCCTAAGATGGCTGATGCTCAGATGGCTAATTTTGATGTGTTGAATACTACTACTTTTGCTTCTTTTAATAAGATTGATTTTCATAATATTGGAGAGATTCCAGAGGTAATGATTAAGGATGTTCCAATAGAAAATGAAGTTTTTTGATATACATGAAAATTCCCAAACCTGGTCCGAGATCTATGTCCCCTTCGATGCAAGCCGCTTTGGAGTCAACGGTTACTCCGAAACGTATTGGTGGAAAATGCGAAGAGAAATTTGTTGAGGAAAGTGTTTCCAATAAACCTTCTAAGAGACAGACAAAGAGAAAGAAGAAGCAAGTGTCTATTATTTATGAGGACGATGAAGTTACGATTAGTGATAATCAGAAAGATAATACCATGATGCTTGAAGATACAGCAAGTCATTGGATGTCAATATTCAAGTAAATAATTATGTTCCCACTACGACTCTGATTCCTGTTCAAACTGAGGATTCAATTCCTGTTCAAACTGATAAGGAGGTTTATCACAATATTTTGCAAGAACCTATTATCAATCTTTCCCAATCGCAGTCACAATCACCAACGGTTCCACCTTTCAGTCAACCAAGTACTACAACACCAGTTCCATCCACAACCATACCAATTCCAACTACTACTATTCTGATTCAAACAGTTGTTCAAACTCCACCAGCCTCTTCCATTAGAATTATAAATCCTTTACCTCCACCAATATTTACTCAATCAACCACAACTACCACCGCTTTTATTACTGCTACACCACCAGTGATTCAGAATGAAGAGCGTGTTTCTAATGATAATGATGATTTCCATGTTACAAAGTTATTTCAAACTTTTTTTGAACCATTTCTAGATGCTTCTTTGCTAGATGATGAAAGTGATCTCAATGATGAAACTGCTCCTGCTCCTACTACAAGAAAAGACTACCAAATTTTGAATCGTAAGCTCAATGCTTTGGTTCGTAGGGATAACTCTTTCTCTCTATCCAATTTTCAAAATCTTATGATCACTCATGAGAATACCTTAAAGATGATTCTTGGTGAAAGCAGAAGGTTATTTGCCGATCAAGCAAAATTAATTGATGAAGTTACTTATAAAGTTCAAACTGCTCTCAACACATCGAACAATGTTTTATCCAAAGTTGATTCCATTGCCAGTGAAGTAAAGGAATATAATACTTCTATTCTCTCAGCTAATACTAAGCATAATCAAGGTGTTATCAACTCTATTAACACTCTTGTTTCACATTATGATAATGAAACCGATTTGGTTGATAAGTTAACTGTGAAGGAATTAAATCTTCGCTCTTTGAATTTGTAATTAAAGCAAACAAAGAAGGAGTTTGCCAAGGTAGAAGAAGAGATGATATTGAAAAAAGGCATAAATTTTGAAATAAATCAAAGGCTTGTTCAGATTGTAGAAATTAAGGATCCTCCTTATGTTTTTTATATTTCACAACTTTTGGATGTGAAAATGGCTCCAATTTTTATTCAAATCAAGCATGGTGTTTTGAGTAGCAGTGCTCCTTCGCAATAAGGGGGAGATAAGATTGAAAATGTTCTTTTAACAAAGCTACCTGAGAAGGATCAAACCAAATCCATTCATATCAAAGGTTCCTATATTGTTCCAAAATTGATCAAGGGATCTAATGCACCAAAGATTCAAATTGGGATAGGTCAATGAAGAGACCATTAGATGATAGTGTATTTGATACACAAAAGTTTTATGAAGATGGTGTGGAATCTATCTCTATTAAATTTGTTGTTCCAGAAGAGGTTGATCCGAAAGATGTTGAAGCTGTGAATAAAGAACAAATGAAAATGGATGAAGAGATTGAGATGATGAGACAAATGCAGATTAAGCTAGATAGAATTTATGTTGAAAAGAGGGATAAAGAAGCAAAAGAGGCTACTCTAAGACTTTTGTGGCCTGAGTGGACAATGAAGAGAATACAAGATGTAGCAATTAAGAAGGTTGAGAAATATTGGCTTGAACCAAACTCATCATATGTTCGTCATAACACTGTAGAATGCCAATTGCACTTACCAATGTATGGAAGAGCCTTTATGTTCATAAGTTTCAATCATATGCCCAAACTTCCTTTATCCAACAGTGTTGCCAACTAGAAGATTTTCTCATTTTATCTCAACAATTCTCTACCTCAGTATGAAGTCTGGTCATTGAAGTGGATCATGACTGTCAAAAAGATTGAAGAAGTTAAGATTGGAAATTTCCAAACTATAGATACACAATCTTAAGGGGTGAAAACAAAGATCACTCTGTGGTTACTCTTACTAATCTTCCTTTCATGAATGCTCATGATTGGATCGTACTTTATGGAATCCTAAAAAACATGAATCGAAATTTGGTTCACATATTTTGCATATTACTCATATGATCCGAAATTATAGCATGAAAGTAAGCAAGATGGATGTTGAAGTGTTAAAGAGCATGAAGAAAAACTACATAGTGAAACCTCAAGATCAACCTAAAGGATTAGAAGAATTGAGAGAAGGACTCATTCAGAAAAAACCTTGACAAAAAATGTTACAATTCTGATTACTTGAATACTATTTTGTCAAGGGCTAAGGTGTGTAAAGCAAATACCAAAGAAGACTTGAAGTGGGTATCAGAAGTTATCAGATGGTGGATCTGGGTTAGACTTGTTCTCATGGCAATTGCAAAAGAAGTTTTAAAAGAACAGAACTGAAGAATCATTTCACAACTCACTACAAAGGGGGAGACTGTTAGGATCCTATTTTATGTTGTATTTGAGTTTTATAATGCGAAATGTGTTTCAAAATGATTGTGTATTTTGTATTGATGTGATCGTGATCGTAGTCATTACCTAGAGTTGTAGTTGTTAGTTTGTTTATAGTTGATAGCTATTTTTTGGCTAGGTGTCTTGACCTTATTGGTAAGAGCTCAACCTATTCTCTTGTATGTCATATATAAGGAGAAAGTGTTGATGGTAGAGAGTATCTTTTGATAGGAGTCCTACAATAACTTGTAATTGCATTCCTTTTAATATCTAATGAAAATCAAATGCTATTTATATTTGAGTGTCCTTTCTGATTACGTCTTACATGATTTTATTCTTATTGGATCTATCGATCTAACAATATGTATGTAGGAAGAGGGAGTTGGTGATAAGCAACAAACAGATGAAGATACATGTCCTTTGTCTATTAATGCATTTGATATGATAATCTTGTCTCAAGGCTTAAACCTGTCTTCCACGTTTGAACCTGATCAGGTTTGAACACTATCTAGCCCATAAATCTTAAATACATACATACATACATAACGAATCAATGGTGTTTAAAGTAGGTTTTCAAGTGACCTCCAATTTTGTAATGGTTGATATTCAGAAAGCACAGGAGATGGTGTTGAATACCTTAAGGTGATTGGTGTGTGTATCTTCTTCTCTTTATAATTTTAATATTTGATGATGAAAATTGTAATAAAAATGTTGGGGGCCAAAGTTTTACAAGAATTTATGTAACATTCTTGAAGACATCATACAGAAGTATTGAATGTTATTCAGTTCTACAAGAATTTATGTAACAATCTTGAAGATATCATTTTGAAACAAGTGTTTTGTGTTTTTTATTATTTAAACATGTAATTAGCTCATAGATATTATCTGTTGACCTATGTAATCGATTATTTCTCTTTTTTTTTTGCAACCAAGAAAGGCATCACATGTTATTAATATCATTGAAGATATATATGAAGGGTTAAATTGCACTTTGAGGCAAGGAAACATCACGCACCATGAGTACATATAGGTTTGTCTTGTCACAATGCTACTAAATATTCATAATTCATATATCATAGTTATATTTTATATATTTTTGTCTAATATTTTTACATATAGGTTGGTAAATGAAGATATGTTGGTTTAAATCAAATTGCCTTGTTTGAAGGCAAAGTTGTAGGAGGAAATGGAGACCACATTTTAAGCAGATATGTGTATAGGATTGATCAACTTTTTGAATTTTTCAAAATGCTCTTTTCTACTTCACCACCATTGATTAGGTAAAATTTAGAGAGATTCTTTGTATACATAATATTTTTGTATAATGAAATTATCGAATGTGATTTAGTTTGAATGTTAGTACTTTATTATATGAAATAGATTGTTTTGTTATATATATTTAGTACATACAAAATTATGACACGCAAAATGGGTGTCGTCTTTCTTTATCATAGGGGCTTTAATGACACCAATATAATATGCGTCGTAAGCTTATGACACTCAAATGTGTGTCATCTTCCTTTATGACGGGGTCTTTAATGACACACATTTACATTTCATCTATACCTTTTTATGACACACAGTGTGTGTCAGTAAAGGGCTATTTTCTAGTAGTGTCACCACACTGCAAACCGGTTACTAGGAAGAATGCTCTCCTGCCAAAACAAAGTTGATAGTTGCCATATGGTAATATTAATTCATCCATATCTGATCGTAGATTGGCTACGACCTCGTTACAGAACAAGTAGCAGCATTGTAATGTGTAGCCTTTCATTCTCATTGGTACATAATCTCACCTTCCAAAATAGGACATCCTGAAAAACGTCACTCATTCTGGGATTCGTTGTAGCCTAGCCATAATATCCTAACCCAATTATGGTTTACACGTAATAGTCAATAATGCATTGTACACACCATCATGCTGAAAAAAAGGAAAAAAATTAGCATCATGTTACAAGCATGATCTTTGTGTTCTGGATAAGATCTTGGTGTTCTGGAAATGTTTTATGTGTTCCCGACTAGTTCTTCACATTCCAGACATGTTCTATGTTTTTCAGATAATTGTTTCATGTACTGAACATATATTATAGGCATATGTTTGCATGTTTAACTAGAAAAAAGACCCAAATATCAACTATATACATAGTTTTATCAAAATTTTAACTAAATTTCAGACATGTTCTTTGTATTTCAGAATAACATCTAAATCGGTAATATATGTAAAGAAAATTGCTTTAAAGAAAGCTAACCCACAACACAACCATCTATTCGTCATCAGAAGCCATTAGTTTTAAAAAATCAAGAGTCCAAAATGTCACTCCGAAATATACTTCTTGCCTCATTCCGAATAGAGGGTATATATATTAGGGACCACAAACCGAGTCGGTACCCGACCCAAAGGGGTCTAGAATTCCATATTTCGAACATCTTAGTTACTTTTAAAAAAAAATAGTTATTCCTCAAATTTTACATTAAAAAGTTGCTAGTTTAGTTAATATCCCTTTTTATAATGTCTAAATAATGATACTATAAAATTTGTTTGTGAAGCCTTATTTGGTATTAATTTGGTGTTCTAGTAGGAACTAGGAACACATAAATCGATCAAGTTGGGGTCACGCTTGCCTCTCAAAAAGATGAAGGTTTACCTGCTTTATTTGAACATGAAATTATATCATTATATGTACTTAGAGGCATCCTATTGATTTTCAAAGCCTTGTGAGAAAAATAAAAATAGACCCTTATATATAGTTTTTTATATAAAAATTTTATTTAGTACTACAGTAAGTCGATAAATGTTATAAAAAACAACTAAAACAAAAGAAAGATATTTGAGAAACTTCAACCCACACACACAACTATTACTAGAATAGTCAGCAAGACTCTATATTGAATAATTGTATTAAGAAAACAATAGACTTTTTCATATATTTTAACACATCGGTGGGGTAGGTAGTTTCACTCGATAAGAGCTCGTTAAACAACTTTAATTTCAAATAAAGTTCATTGGCTCAATATATGATCGTTCACCATACTTAAATGCATTTTCCAAACGGCTGCAACACAACTAAAGATCTTTGTCGTCAAATTCCTTTAACTTTAATGGAAAGAAAAAAAAAATATTTTCATGCTCTTCGAATGGTTAAAATCTTGTTTTAAGAGAAATCATCCCTTGCTCAATAATATATAAAAAGTAATTAATTTTAAAACTCTCATCGGCTGAAAGTACAAAATCTTGATTACTTGAATTCTCATCAAAATAATTTTCTATAAACGGGACGCTTTACAGGGAATACCATATCAATATTCATTTCAATCGAACGTTCTTTATCATTATTAATCAGCTAAGAGAACCTTGTTTCTCTAAACTACCCGAAGAACTCAATCAACACATTCACTTTTTTAATAATACATCGATAAACATATCCTAGAATTGTTAAATTTTTGCTAACCAGATTTACTGTGAATAGTATTTTATTGTGAGTTCTTGGAACCGAAACAAAAAACGGGCCTTTGTCTTTGGATTATTGGATTGCCGATTGTTGCATACCGGATTGAATAG